TAAGCGCAAAGAACCCAGGGAGTTTCACTATCCCTCTTGTTATTGGCAGCATGCAAGTAGGAAAGTCCTTGGCGGACCTAGGCGCTAGCATAAATGTCATGCCCTACAAATTGTTTAAGAAGCTAGACCTAGGTGAACCTAGAGCTACTAGGATGAGCATTCAGTTAGCTTGATCGTTCCATCGTGCATCCTAGGAATATCATTGAGATCTGCTTGTTAATGTAAGTGCATTCACATATCCTGTTGACTTTGTTATTCTGGATATAAATGAGGAGTGGATGTGCCTTTGATGTGGGTAGACCGTTTCTCGCCACCGCCGAGCGCTTACTGATGTGCATAGTGGTAAATTGATCCTGCGTGTTGGTGATGAACATGCTACTTTTTCTGTGTCCAAGAATGGGAAGCACTCTCATTTGCATGATGACATAGTTACTGTGATGTGCTTACTGATTTTGAGACCGCACTTGCTATAACGAGTGCGGGTACTGACGATGCTCTTGAGCGTTTGTTTTGCTAGGTGAGCAGGCATCGCAGTAGCCGCAGCTGACGGAGCAGTTGGCCGGCTGGAGAGTGGCCCATTCCTGGAGGGCGACAGGCTGTTCAAACCGATCTCATCCTCACCCCGCATCACTACCTCTTTGGAGGAACCACCGGAGCTGGAGCTAAAGTCCCTCCCTCATCATTTGGAGATGCATTTCTCCGGGAGGGGAATAAGCTGCCAGTCATCATCAGCTCGACCCTCACACCCGAGCAGAAGGACAGACTGGTGGCCTTGCTGAAGTAGTACGAGCGAGCTCTAGCGTGGAAGATCACATATATCCGGGGGATCAGCCCCCTCCTTTTGCTCCCACCGGATATGCTGGAGGATGAGATGTGGCCAGTGAGACAGCCGCAGAGAATACTTACACAAAACCTGGAGGCCGTGGTTTGGGCGGAGATCGTGAAGCTGATGGACGTGGGGATCATCTTTGCCATTTCTGAAAGCGAGTGGGTCAGTCCCACCCAGGTGGTACCCGAAAAGGGTGGGATGACGCTGGTGCCGAAAGAGAGGAATGAGCTCATCCCGATGCGCACGGTGACTGGGTACCGTGTTTGCATTGATTATCGGCATCTCAACGACGCACTCGGAAGGACCACTTCCCACTGCCGTTTATTGATCAGATGCAGGAGAGACTGGCGGGGCACGAGTTTCTACTGTTTCTTGGATGAGATGTTCGGGTACTTCCAGATCCCCATTGAACCGGAGGACCAGGCGAAGACCACTTTCACCTGCCCCTTCGGCACATTTGCCTACCGGAGGATCTCATTCGGGCTATGCAATGCCCCAGCCACTTTTCAGCGATGCATGCTCGCCATCTTTAAACCGTCTGGTCGGCGAGATTATGGAGGTGTTTATGCATGATTTTTCGGTTTATGGAGACTCATTCTCTCACTGTCTCCATAACCTGGAACTCGTCCTTAAACGGTGTGAAGAACGAACCTGGCACTGAGTTGGGAGAAGTGTCACTTCATGGTTCGCGAAGGCATAGTTCTGGGCATAAGATATCCAAGATGGGGATTGAGGTGGACAGAGCAAAGATTGAGACTATCAGCAAGCTGCCTCCTCCTACATCTATTAAGGGATCCGGAGCTTTTTGGGCCATGCAGGGTTCTACAGGAGGTTCATCAAGGATTTCTCGAAATCACCCTGCCCCTGACTAGGGGTGGGCATGCGGTTCGGTAAACCCGAACCGACCCGAAGCCGAATTCAACCAAACCGAAACCAAATTATTGTTATTCTGTTCGGAATTCGGATAAGAATAATGGGTATTTCGGAACCCAGGGTTGTCATCACCGAACCCGAATTCCGAAATCCGAACCGAAAAACCGAAAAGCCCAGTCGGCCAGTCCCCACCCAGCCCAATCTCTCATAGCCCACACACTAACACCCCACCACTCTGCCCAACCCAATCTCTCACAGCCCTAGCCCTAAGCCCACTCACCCACAACAAATATACAACCTCCACAGCAGCCATCCCTCATCATCACCCACTCACCTCCTCGCCGACCAATCTCCCCTCTCTCAGTTCTCTTCTCCTCAACTAGTCCCTGCAACTTATACCAAGAAAATCAAACATAAAAACCCACATGCATCAGTCGAGATGAAGAGAATGTTGATTGGGGAGGTGCAAGGATCTTCGTCGTCGCCGCCGCGCCCGCGTTGTTCACTTCATCAATCGCCATCGCCGTTGGCACTACCGCCGTCTTGTTCTCTCGGTCAATAGTCATTGCCGCCGAGTTCGGGTCTGGGGTCGCAGGGGAGTTGAGAGAGAGAGAGAGATTGAGTGAAGGATAGATTTGGAAGATAGAGGAGGGACGAGAGAGTTTGATTGAGGGAATGATAGATCTGGGGGAGATAGAGGAGAGAGGAGAGAGAGATTGATTGAGGAGCATATTAGATAGATGAGAGATGAGGGAGAGGGGAAGATTAATTTGGGGCCGGCTTTTAGTGGGGAATAGAAATAAATTGTGTTGTTTTATATTTTCGGGTTTGGGCCTTGAAACCGGACCGAACCGAGATATAATTTGGTTCGGGTGAAACGAACCGAATTATATTTTGGTTCGAAATCGGTTGGGGGATATCTGGCTTCAGAACCTCGGTGCATGCTAGTTCGGTTTGGTTCAAATCGAACCGACCGAACGCCCACCCCTACCCTGACTAAGCTTCTTGAGAAGGATGCCCCCTTCCAGTTCACTGATGCATGCACGGCGACGTTCACGACCTTGAAGGAGAAGCTCACCCAAGCTCCTATCATGGTTGTTCCTGACTGGTCCCTACCGTTTGAGCTGATGTCCGACGCCAGTGACTTTGCTGTTGGAGCTGTCTTGGGGCAAAGGCGAGATCAACACTTCCGACCTATCTACTACGCCTCGAAGACCCTCAATGATGCCCATGAGAAGTACACTACCACGGAGAAGGAGTTGCTCGCGGTGGTGTTTGCCTTCGACAAATTTTGTCTTTATCTGGTCTTGTCCCATGTGACCGTGTATACAGATCACTCCGCGATTCGATACCTGATGAGCAAGATCGATGCCAAGCCTAGGCTCATACGATGGATCTTATTATTGCAGGAGTTCGACATCGAGATTCAGGACAAGAAGGGAGCGGAGAATGTTGCAGCTGATCACCTCTCCTGGTTGGACGCACCCCCTGCGGACAACCTCGAGGAGGAGATCAATGACTCCTTTCCAGATGAGAGACTGATGATGATGTACCTGGTGGAGAGTGATACCCCTTGGTACTCTGATTTTGTGAACTATCTGGTGGGCCAGTAGCTGCCCAAGGGGATGACAACTCACACCAAGAGGAAGTTATTCTCCGACCTGAAGCATTACTTCTGGGATGACCCTCATCTCTTCCGGATCAGAGCCGACGGGATCATCCGTCGCTGTGTTATGGAGAGTGAGATGGAGGGCATTCTATCTCACTGTCATGAAGGACCTACTGGCGGTCACCACGGAGGAAACCGCACGGCGCGGAAGGTGCTCCAATCGGGCTTTTACTGGCCCACGCTCTTCAAGGACGCAGACGCCTTCGCATGCAGGTGCGACCGATGCCAGAGGTCAGGTAACGTCTCTGCCCGTGATGAGATGCCCCAGAATGTGTTTATAACTTGTGAAATTTTTAATGTCTGGGGTATCGACTTCATGGGCCCCTTCCCTCCATCTTTTGGCAATACCTATATCCTGGTTGCAGTTGACTACGTCTCTAGGTGGGCTGAGGCGCAAGCTTTGCCCACTAATGATGCTAGACGTGTTTGTGGTTTTCTGAATCAGCTATTCTCCCGGTTCGGGACACCTAGAGCCATCATAAGCGATCGAGGCACCCATTTCCAGGGCCAATTTGATAAGTAACTGTATCGCTATGGTGTGACTCACAAGGCCTATCACCCTCAAACCAGTGGCCAGGCCGAGCTGACGAACCGGGAGCTCAAGCGTGTCCTAGAAAAGATGATGGATCAGTCCCGCAAGGATTGGTCCACCAAGCTCGATGATGCTCTCTGGGCATATCGCACTACCTGCAAGACACCCATTGGTACTTAACCGTACCGGCTTGTCTATGGAAAGGCATGCCATTTGCCCGTGGAGCT